TTTCTTTCAAGTATTATGTACTGTTGCCTTGAACATAATGGTTAGAATATTCCAAGTTACAGGCGATTGTATAAAATCCCTGGTCCACTGTGGCGTTAGCTTTCAAGCTCCTTGGTAAGCTGAAGCAAATGAAAACTGAAACAGCAGCAAAGTAGCCCTAGATGTGAATAAAGAATAAATAAGATCAAAATAATGAATAACATAGTACAGACTGAGTAAGGAAAATCTGTTAAGCATCATCACATAGTTATTGGTAGAATCATATATACTGATACAAAAGTTGATGACAAATCATAACAGAAGCAGAGCTATTGCACCTTTTAATGACAACTAAGAAAATTTTAAAAATAATCCAAATCTATCTCTGCGTGTGCAAACTACAGTTGTGACTCACCACAACCCACTACTGAAAACAGGCCAAGCTTTGAAAGATGTGTAACGTGCTTACTGTAGCATTTGATGTGAGGTATATACTACCCAGTAAATTTTAGTTCTCTTCTAGTTTCATGTTGGAAACATCAGTATACATTTTGTTTCTCATACCTGAAACTGACATTTGAGGATTAATGTCTCAATTTTGAGGCATTGCTGCCAGTTACCAAGGCCTAATACCCTGATTTACATTTTGACTGTTCTGAAAAGTGAATATTTTAACATAAATTCAATTTAGTGGAAAAGATTTACAGACCCCAAGTGTCCGCATGATTACAGCTTTCACTCCCTTTAACTCCATGCTTCTCGATTTTGCTGATCCCAAGCCATTTATTAAAATGTTTAATTGCTCTACTTCATCTCCTACAGGTTTTATCTCCTTACATTACTACCAAGGGCCTAGGGATATCATGAGATTACTCCAACGGCGGCTAAATCTGCCTCCTCCCTTCTTCAACTGCTGGCAGAGGCACCAAGCTCGACATGCTGCAGTTAACTGATTTTCTATTATGACCAATTTATGTCTACAGGTAACAATTCTTTGTGCAAGGCCACTGTAAAGACAGAAATAATTATCTCCCTACCTCTGACTACTTGGTAAAACAATCTAAGAAGAACAACAGAAGTAATAATAATGCTTATTGAGCACCACTGTGTAAGACTATTCCATCAGTGTTTTTGGTAACTGTTACCTTATGGAGGGCAAATCTTTCACTTTATAGAGAAAAGTGATCCTGTTCTTGTAGAAGGAAGTTTAAAATGGAACAGTTACACAATCAGAGCTCTGCTCTAGAAAAAATGTTTTGCTTGGCAAATACTTTATTTTTTGTATTGCTATTGTAATTCAATATTATATATTGTCAAAATACAAACTTTGGTATTTCATAAAATGCCCTGGAATAGCCATAATTCCAAAGTCTTCTCCTCTTTTCAAATGTCTAAATATAATAATCTTAAAACAGTCAAAAGGCATAACACATTTTTGGTGTACATATGCCTTTAAATGGTGTCAGTCAAAGATGGAAATCCAGGAAGTGGCAAAGAGCTGACCCCTGCCCTGTGAATGACTCTGTCGGGAGTATGCCAGTGGTTATCATCTAGGCCCCAAAGGTGCTGTTAAGAAGGATGGCCAAGCAGTGGTTGCCAAAAGGATAGTCAAACCATATTGTTTGTGGTTTAAGACATGGCCAGGGTCACCTAAGGGAGCTCTGGTGGCATAGTGCCTAAGGCATTTGATGGCTAACCAGAAGGTTGGCGATTCAAACCCACCAGCCACTCTTTGGAAGGAAGGTTAGGCAATCTACTTCTGTAGTGATACTGACTTGGAAACCCAAGGAGGGGTGGCTATGAGTCAAAATGGACTTGACGGCAGTGAGAGGTTGTGAGGGTCACGTAAAGGCCTGGCTGGCTGGCTCTGCACATGGGTGCCACCTTGATTACTCTATGTGGATTAATGCCCCCTCTACCCAGCATGGAACACCAGGTATTGGAAACACTCTTGTGATATCTAGGGGTGTTTGTACTAAGGTGGCTTTTGGGGTTTTCCCACCTGGCTTCCTGTGCATGCTGAAATAAATCCTTTTAGGAAATAGTAGCTTTCAGAAAATCCTCCATAGTACCCCGTCCTCCTCAAAATGATGTGTAGGTTGACTGAGTTAGATCCCAAGAGCAGCTGCATCTCTGACGTCTGTTATGGCTCCTGCCTCCCTCATCAGGGCATGTGGTCCCCAGCAATGACCCAAAATGAGAAGACCTCCTGTGACCAACTGTGAGGAAGCTGTTGTGAGAAGCCTACAACAATGCAGACTGGGTTCTCACTGGCCTTTAAAACCACCCTCTGTGTGGGGTCAAAACTCTTTAAACCAGGTCTTCTCTGGCACCTAGGGGCAGGTCAGGTGGTAATTTGTATCACTTAGGTGACAACCATCTAATTTATCTCAGACTGTCCCTAGTATTAGGACTGAAAGTCCTACATCCCAAGAAATCCCTCAGTCTTGGGCAAATTGGCACAGTTGGTCCCTCTACTGATTTTTTTGTCATATCTGCTGATAGAACTACCTAGTAAAGGGAGCATTAACATCAGTTCTAATCCTTTATTCCACGTGTTTCAGTTGAATATCTTACCAAAAAACAAACTAAACTCACTGCCATCGAGTTGATTCTGACTCATGGAGCCTCCCCCAGGCCCCTGCCCTGTGGGTTTCCAAAGCTATAAAGCTTTATGGAAGCCAACTGTCTCATCTTTCTTCCATAGAGCAGCTGTGAGTTCAGACCACCAATCTTTCGCTTAGCAGCCCAGTGCTTTAACCACAGCACCACCAGAGCTCCTTTAACCAAGCCACCAAACTCACTGCCATCGAGTCGACTCCAACTCATAGTGACCCCCATTGGGTTTCTGAGGTGGGAAATCTTTATGAAAGTAGATTGCCTACTCTACCTTCCGTGGAGTGGATGGTGGGTTTGAACTGCCAACCTTCTGGTTAGCAGTCATATGCCTTAGGTACTACGCCACCAGAGCTCCTTGAGCTTCTTAAAGATCCCACAAAAACTCACTGCCATAGAGTCAACTCTGACTCCTAGCGACCCCCATTGGGTTTCTAAGGCTGTAAATCTTTATGGAAGTAGACAGCCTCATCTTTCTTCTGCGGAGCAGCTGGTGGGTTTGAACCACTGACCTTTGGTTAGTAGCCAAATACCTTAACCACTACACCACCAGAGCTCCTTAAAGGTCCCACAATGCTCTGTAAATTCTTAAGAGCCTTTTTGAGACAGATGACACACGTTATTATCCTCCATCCACAGCTCAGGAAATGGAGGCCTGAAGAGCTAGGCCACCTGTCCCAGGAGTTGGAGATGAAGAGGCAGACACAGAACAGAGGATCTCTGACTCTGTGAACAATGTCCCCTCCACCTGGCAGTGATCACTTTTCAGTTCCATTCACAAGGAGCCTCACTGTTGGGCCACTACTTGCCTGGAAGGTCCTGATGATCCCGGTCTTTCTTTTCACCAGCATTTGCTAAACCGGGCTGGGTGGTGACCTTTCTGGTAGGAGGCCAAAAGGTCACACATTTCTGGCTCTAGTCTTACTCCTGAAACTGTAAACAAAGACTCTTCTGTAGGAAGGAAAAGAGAAAGACATCAACATATTATTTCCTGGGGGCTTTCACAGTGTATTTTTTTAACGTCTGTTGTAATATGTGTTACTGGGAGAGATGCCAAAACAAGAGCCAGACTTACTTACCAATAATTTGTACTGACTCAGGTATAACTGACGTTACTGAAGCTACTAATAATTGGGAAGTGCCTCCTACTCAACTCAATTCAGTATATATTTACTGACTGAATACTTGGGCAACACATTACGCTATGTGTTGAAAATAGTATAAACGGGAATAGAACTGTGGGAGACACACAAATACACTAACCAACAAAAGTCCTAAGTGAGGTGCAAACAAAGAATTACGGGAATCTTCACCCCATTCCCAAGTCTGCTAAGTGCATGGAATAGGCACAGCCAAGGTGCCATTTGAGTCTTGCAGGATGACTATGCTCTCAATAGGCAAGGACTTTCTGGCTGAGGGATCAGCATGAGCAAAGGCACAGAGGACAGAAAGTGTTTGAGAGAGCCATGAGTAATCTTTTGTGATTAAAGCAAGACAGAGTAGAAGACAAAGTTGGAAAAATGGGTTGGAACCAGACGGTAAAGGAAGTTAATATTATGTCAAGGAGTCTAGACTTTAGTCCCCAAATATTAGGCAATAAAGTATCATGCTGGGCTAAATGTTTTTGAAAGTTTCAAATCCCGTCAGCTATATTAGGCAATCTATTCAAATAGACTGTAAAGTGCAACTTGTGTAAATTAAAAAAGAATTTTTTTTTTTTTGAAATATATGTACCCCTCACATCCTCAATTTGTGTATTTGGTTAGTTCAAATATTGAAAGCCTCCACTTTTATAAATGCCTCTGTTAAGTCCCATTGTTCTTGGTGCTTACTATGCTAAAGCTATGGCCAAGTTGTCCAAAAGCTAACAGTTTGAGGGGCTCACCTGAAAATGATAATAAAACTTCCTGGCAGATTGCTCTAAGTTTAAAGAGGATAATATATGCCAAAAAAAAAAAAAAAAGCAAAAAACTTTGCATCGTTCCTGAGACACAGTAAGTGACTATTGTTAAAGCATCAGCAATAGAATATCTGAGAAAAAGAGCAAGAAGTAGGAGCCTCATTGTCACCAAAGCACATTTACAAAACCTGCTGGGGCATCCTTCCACTTGGGCATTGCTTTTCTAAGTTTCTCAACCTGAACAAACCTGTGTTGCTCCATGTGTTAAATATTGCACAACTTAGCAAAAAGAAAAGCTTCTAGCTTTGAAGCATTGAAAGCGTAAAATGCCTTAATAATATTGTTTCCTGGTAGCTGCTCACAGCCAAAGGGAACAAATGAACGGACAATGCCTGCTCTGCCTCACTCCGCCTAGACTTCTGCCACTGAGGCCGTGGGTACTCTGTTGCCCTGAGTCCTTTGGTTTGAAATTACATATTTGCTAGGCTGGAAAGGGGAGACATCAAGTTGCCTGCCTAAAAGAAACAGCGTGTAAACTTTAAAGATCACTCTTGAATCAACTCAAGTCCAAACCATCTTGGGAACTTCTCTCACGGAGAAGTATTCTCTTGCCTTGGGGATAGTGGCACGAAGGGCTGGGCTTTTCCTAAGGTTTCCTTGCCTCTCAAAAGCAGCAGCTCCCAGGCAGAGAGAGAGGAGAGAGAGAGAGAAACATTATCTGGCAGAACAGTGCTGGGAAAGCAACCAGTTAATCAAAAGGATTCCAATCTGGCCGTGGACTGCACACTCTCCTTCCCAACTCATAGAAAAAGAAAAAGAAAAAGAAAGAAAGAAAGAAAGAAAAAAAAAAGCAGCGGAGCGACTCTCCAGCAATCTCACAAATGCAAAACCTTCCACTGTGGTGACTCATTAGCTTACTGAATCTGACAGCATAATTATCACAGCTGCTTTGCGCTTAGAATAAATAAATACGAAAGTGGGTGTTTAAAAATTTTTGAGAAGGGAAATTCAATCATCTAGACAGTCAGTAGGACAAGTTTATTTAAAACTTTTAGATTCTTATGCATTTAGATCATTTCAGAACGAGATAATGAGATAGTTGTCTTTCAGTCTAATTGAGTTCCTAAGCTCCTGGCTGTTGGCCGTCACCCCTTTCAAACTTTGCTTTAACTTTCCTTCCTTTAGAAATCTGATCCTGGTGTCTCCATTTACTCTTCCTGGGCTGATAACCTGGGGAAGGCTTGGTGCACTGGAGTGCAGAAAGTGACTTAATGGGATTGAGGAACTAAATAACCTTTCACAGGAAACAAGATAATCAAATCTCTTTTACTTGCCTGTGCCGGCTAAAAGAGAAAGCACAAGTTAAAAAAGAAAGTCTGGAAATCAAACTATCATTCCAAAATGTCTGGCAATTTCCCTTGTCACGTGGTCTTTGTGCTAAACTTACATACCATCAATCCATCAGGCAGAGCTGCTTAGTGCATTTAATTATTCGGAGTGCACACATCCTTGTGGTTACATGGTAATTTTTTTTAGCTATGTATGTATACACACTTCATAGCTTCAAAGCCCAGAGGATCACACAGTACTTCAAACTGAAGTTGCTAACTAATATGGAGTGCACTTAAAACTCTAACTAGGGGCACAACACATATGCATTTCTTATAAAGCAGATGATGTTTCCTTTTAAAATCAATTAGTGCTTATTTATCTTTCCTTTCACCCCCCCCCTCCTGCCCCCATTCTCCCAGGACTGCATTTATATGAACCGTTGCATTCAGTGAGTTAAGAGCTTTATAAAATAAATAGTCTGTCAATCTGGGGTAAAGGGTAAAGGAAACTAGTGTTAACCCATTGTGCAGATGGAGAAACGAGGCTTATGAAAGCAACTAAGGCATACTAAGTTGAAAAAAGAACACTCAAGTCCTTTAACACCCATTCCAGAGCTCTGGCCTTCTGTACCATTTTTCTCACTTTCTTTTTCTTAACTGTAGAGATAATATAGCACAAACACTAGAGAAAACTTTGAAAAAGGAAAAAAAAATCATCCATAGTCCTCCTATTCTAAAACACACACACACACACACACACACAAAACCAACTGCCATCGAGTGGATTTATAACTCTTAGCAACCCTATAAGACAGAGTAGAACAGCCCCATAGGGTTTCCAAGGCTGTAAAACTTCAAGGAAGCAGACTGCCACGTCTTTCTCCTGCAGAGAGGCTGGTGGGTTTGAACTGCTGACCTTTTGTTTAGCAGCCCAATGTTTTAACAACTATGCCACCAGAGCATCCCCTCCTATACTAGAAAAGAATTTTTATTTTTGTAAGCTATCTTTCAGTTTCGTTCATATGCATAACACATTTTCACATCATTCTGTGCAATTTTGAATTCTAGTTTCTTTTAACTCACGTCATCACATAAGCATTTCCCTAAGACCAAATGGCAGCTACTGTGATTACTACCAGGAGCTCTGGTTAGGTAATGCCTAAGGCATTTGACTACTAACCAGAAGGCTGGTGGTTCAAAGCCACCAACCACTCCTTGGAAGGAAGGTTGGGCAATCTACTTACATAGTGATACGCCCTTGGAAACCAAAGGAGGGGTCACTATGAGTCGGTCCAACGGCACATAACAACATGATTGTTATCTGGGTGTCAGTGACTCAATTATATGATGAGAATACGAAATAGCTAATCTCTAAGATCCCTTTCGCTATTAGGGTCTTAAATGCTTTCCAGAAAGGTTTATCTTTACTTGGTGATTCTTTTGGCCCATGAGGCTAACAAATTTAACCAATTTCAGGGCTTGGTAGGGTTAAGGGACTTACTTTACCCACAATTCGCCTAGCAATACAGCTCTACGCAACACCACAAACCATCTCTCAAACCAACATCCCCTCTAATGTGTGGGAATGGGTTGAGGACAACTTTGAACATAGAAGATAAAGAAATGTATTAGGGAGGTTACTACCTAACTTGCTTCTCACTGACTAGCATTAATTTGGGGAAGATTTAAAAAGTAGAGAGAGTGTCCTGAGTTAGGTTATAAACTTCTGGAATCAGCATCCCTACGCTGGTCAAGAGACCTGCCTCAGACTCTACTTTCCCTCTTTCCTGTCAAGCCCCAGCCCCTGAAGACCAGCCTTGTGGAATGACATAATTCAGAATAATCTTTAAGTGAACCAGAAATCAAACCAGTTGCTTTAGAGTCAGTTCTGACTCGTGACAACCACACGTTTCACAGTAGAACTGCTTCCATAGGATTTTCAGAAGCAGGTCACATGACAATTACAAGTTTCACAGTAGAACCGTGTCCATAGGATTTGTGGAAGCAGGTCAACATGCCTTCTTCCTGAGCGCCTCTGGGTATGTTCAATCAGCCAAAGTTTGGGTTAGGAGTTGAGTCCCACACAGGGGTAAACTTTAAATAGACTAGACAATATAAACAATGAAATAAGTTTAAAATCTTGAGGAAGCATACAAAGAACTAAAAAGCTTCATTAGTATGTGTTAAAAATGTTTAAATTTATTATGTTGCAAGAAGACATAATGATAAAAACTACCACGGTATACGAGTCAGCAGTGTGCCAATGTTCTTAAAAAGAAGACAACTTCAGAATGATGTGAGATGGTATTAAGAAGATGACCTTCCTCCATTTGGAATGTCTTTCCTCCCAACCATCCAAATCCCATCATCTTTCAAGACTCCCTCACAAAGGAATCCTCCATTTCCCAGCTGGAGTTAATCCTGCCTCCTCTGAGCACCCGGAGTACTTTACATGTGTTTACTTGATCTGCAGCTGTTTATGCACTTGTCTCATTTCCTTAAGGATTGTAAGCTCTTTGAGGACAGGGTCCATGACTAATTCATTTTTGGTCTCTCATAACTCACACTCAGGAAGCACTCAATAAATATTAAATGAATGAATAATTCATAATTCTCCCACTATGGTACAAACCTGAGTCTACACTGGTAGTCTCAAAGATAAAACGATTGGAACAAATTCAGAATAAAATGAAACAGAATGACTAAAAGTGAGAGGAACAGAATCGATTTCTAAAAACAAAACAAACAAAAGGGTAAAGGAATTCTTCCTAGAGAAGTGAGCTTCGGGAAGTGATAGCATAGCTATCTTCAAATATATGTAAAGAGGTGGTATTGAAAGAAGGCCCGGAGTTCTTCTGTTGGATCAAAACAAATAAAATCACTCAGGTATTAATGGGGCAGTATGAGTAAGGCTTAGAGAGCTCTGGTGGCACAGTGCCTAAGTCATTTGACTGTTAACCAGAAGGTTGGCAGTTCAAACCCACCAACTGCTCTGCAGAAGGAAGATGGGGCAATCTACTTCCATGTGAAGATTTACAGCCTGGGAAACCCAATGGGGGTTGCTATGAGTTGGAATCGACTCCATGGCAGTGGGCTTGGTTTGATGAGGAAGGCTTACTGAAGAATTTCCAGAGGGCAGATACTACGGTGGTGTGACTAACGGTGGAGATAAATTTTATGCCTTTTTTCTATCCCAGGAGTATAAGTATAGGATGACAACATGGCTGTGGGACATTGTGCAAAAATACTTGTGAAATAATTGCAAGCTCTTGAGTTATAGGATTCTTTTTCCCTAAGATGCTAAAATCTGTTTGAAGGAGAAGAGGGATTTGGTCTAGGAAGGAAAGGGAGAGACTCAAGCCAGGGATTTGGAAAGCAAAATGGGACCAATCCACAGAGAAAGACAGCCTTTGATGTCCTGATGATCAAGGACCGTGGCTTAAGGACCAGACTCTTAAATCACTTGGCATTTACTTGCCCCAGATAAAAAAAAAAAATACTTTTGTGGATCAGTGTTTGTGATTCAAAATGGCTAGTGTCCAATCACAAATCAGTCTTAACTTCCCCAAGGTAACATTTGGAAGGCTTCCTGCAAGAATGGAGAAGGGGCAGCTTAATGATTTTCTCCTCCCCCTGCCCCCAAATCATTAAACAGTGTTCCTTTCCCAGAGCCCAAGTTCAAGCTGCGGGCAAAGGGAGTTAAACGAAGAAGCTGAACCTGTAGCTAAGATTAGAGAGCTGCCAAAGGCCTAATTTTAGGTCTTAGCTGCCCCAGCTGGCGTCCTGCACTGTGGGCTCCGCCAAGAGGACCACAAGTGTGGCCGTAAGCCTGAGTCCGAGTGGAAGGAGCGTCTCCCTGGCCATCTGCAAAAGCAATTAGCTTGCTGTCGGGTGTGTTTTGAGAGGGACTACCAATAATTTCTCCTTCAACAAATGTTTCTTCAGGTGTTCAAGAGTCAATAAGGGTACATGTCAGAGCTTGGCAGAAGTTCCCATAGGCTTGCCATTCTAACATTCATGCTTTTCTACGTAAGTGTGCGTTCCAAAAGGGAACTAATCCTGGCATTCCTGGTTTTCCATAGTAAGTAACCCTCTGAGAAATTTCCTCTGCCTATAAGCTTACTGTCACAACTTAGAAAAAGTGTTTTTCAGAACTCGCCAGCTTCATGAAAATAGAAATGGATGGGTGAGACCAATTCTTTCATTTTGTTGGAATTTCTTTACCACTGGGATTTAGCTTGTCCTTCCACTCTTCATGTATTTCCCATCCACAGGTTTCATGACTAAATTGTCTTCCTTGTGGGGGGGGGGGCAGACAATAAGAGCTAGCACCTTCCAGATGAAAGGGGAAAGACAATATATTTTAAATTGACAACTCTGTTATCTGACAACCAGAATAATAAAATGGTATAAATATGAGCCCCTAAATGATTCCATACAAAAATGCTGCTGGAGAGCAAATTTCTTGCATAATTACGTCAGGGAAACTCTTCTTACAAACCACTCACAATAGCAGGTCTGATTTTTGCACAATCCTTCTGCCTGTGGCACCCAACCAGAGGGATGGAGATTCTATAGCTCTACAGCCTGCTCCCCGCCTGCATTGTTGTTGTTGTTATGTGCCGTTGAGTCAGCCCCGACTCATAGCGACCCCGCCTGCATAGGAGGCTCTTAATAAAGGTGTATTGCCAGGGATAATAAAAAAGCAGGCTGGCGCTGCCAGGCTGAGGGAACGCAACCCTTAGTAGATAGCATGCCCTTGGTGAAGGCCACTGTCATGGAAGTGCACAAACTGGCCCAGCGGCTTCTCCCTTCCTCTATTTTTCTTTCCAGTTTTCCTGGTAGCTTTGTTTTCTATTTGTCCTAGCTGTCGGTCTGTCTCTGTACTTACTTTCCCCACCACCACCACCACCACCACCACACATGCACACCCAATCCCACCCCCCCCTCCCTGTCTCTTGGCACCAGCCCTTTCATCTTCTCCCTCGGGGATTCGAGATGTCGCTGCAGGAAGTGCTTGTCGGCCATGGCAGCAGCAGCAGAGCCCTGTGGCTTTGACAAACCTCATTTAATTGGGAGGAAGCCAGGAGAATTTGAAAGAACTGAAACATCCACGAAACTCCTTTTATCAGGCATAATTTAAACTCTGCATGGAAAAACCCCTATATGTATAAAGAAAAGTCAACTTCCCTCCTGCTGTGAGCACTCCTCGACTCCCTCCCAGCGCAGGCAGGCTCCTGCAAGGTTCCATCTTTTCATTTCTCTAAAAGTGTCAAAGTAGATTTGGGCTCTGAGGCTGGGTGAACAGGAAAGGAATACAGATCTTTCTCCCTCTCTTTCCTCTCTTACCCGCATGTGCGTGCGTACACACACACACACTCACTCACTCACCGAGACATACATGCACCAGAGCCCCTCTGTTGGTGGATTTGCTTTGAGTCTGCCAGGAGGAATGAAAACCACACTTTCTAACAACACATCAGCTTGGACAGATTCTAATTACCCTTCAGGCAAAAGGTGGTGCTTGGAAAAGTTTAAGTTTGAAGACCCATAGAGGTTCTCAGTGCCTAGAATAACAGATCCAGAAGGAGGGCCTATGGGGGAAGGTTCAAGTGGAGAGAAGTGTGTGTGTGTGTACATGTATGTTCACACACATGTGTGTGTCCAAGCATGTGTATTTACATGAAGTGGTTGAGTTAGAAGTCCCATGAACAAAAGAAGAAAGCTAAGAAGGAGGGGTCTGCGGGCTCAGACTGGGCAGAGGGTGTTGGGTGGGGAATGGAGGAGTGAGTGGGGATAAAGTGGAGGCAGAGGTGTCAGGAATGGAGAAAGAATTTTAACTGTCTGGAGTGGCTTTTATTCCACCCACAGGCCAAACCATGTCCCTTTCCTCCTTCCAAATTTTGTGCAGATTCACCTCCAGTTGAATCCATCTCACTTGAATTATTCAAGTCTCTCCAAAGCATTGCCCTTAGCACACATCTTCTCTGGACATCTGCAGTTGATTAGGCACAGATTTTTGTTGTTTAGATATGACTTCTGCTAATACATGTACGAGGATGCCTGCTTCCTCTTCCTCACTCTCTTTTCCTCCCACTCCATAAGATCCTTGAGGCCAAGGCCCAGTCTCCTTTTGCCCAACTTCTTATAGCACTTAATATGTTCTTGACGCTTTATGGCAACTTAATAAATACTGATGACTGACTCTTCTTATGAGGTTAAGTAAGATATTAACCCCAGCTGTATGATTATGGTGATTTCTGAAGATCCTAAATGACTCACTTTAAAAGTAAACTACCTCAAGAAGTCCCAAACTGAGAGCTTTGGACCTTTGCAGGTCAATGTCCTAGTTAGCAGTGGGTCAGGTTTACAAAACCTGGAACTTTTGAACACACTGTACATCTAAGCCTCTTGGACAGTAGCTCCCAACTCATCTCCACTCATCCTTACCCTATCACATCCTCTCCCATTTCCTCCCCAGTCCCATTCCAATACCCTCTTCCCAGTCTGAGGCCCTAGACCCTCCTTCCTAGCTTTCTTTTCTAGGGCTTAGGACTTCTAAAAGCTGCTTTTAGTCAAATGACAGATGTTGCCAAAGAAACTCCACCTAGGGATAGTTTCCCCCAAGCAGCCCGGACATGCCCACACTGCCCACATCCTCTGCATGGCCTTTCCTGACCACATTCTGAGAAACATGAGGCGTGCTCCCATCACATGATCCCTTGGCAGATTTCAGATTTGGAGGATGACTTCAGGCCCAGGCAGCAAAAGCTGATTTCAGGGTAACTGGGTGTCCCCAGTGGGTATCCAGCCTGGGAGGACATGCCCCTCCCTGGCTCCACTGGGGACTTCCTGATGCAGCATAATATTACCAATCAAGAGGGGCCCAGCTCTCCTCTTCTGACATACCCATCCCATTTATCATACTCCCCATGGAAAGAGAAAAAAGGGTGTTTAGAAACTTTGGTTTCCCTTCTCCTGACAGATGCTACTAGCTAAAGCAAACATGTCTAAGGCAACTTTCATCTTTTCCAATTTCTAAGTGCAAGTGTGTGTAAATGAAACGTTTGGAGTACTAACAGGAAGTCCTGTTACCTCTCCCCCACCAGAACTTTAGAGTTTTAGAGAATCTCCTACAAATCTCTCAGGCAAACTGATCTCCACACTTCTGGGTGTAAATTCTATGATTCTCCACTGTACAGAGAAAACACTTGGCCATACACACAGACACACACACACACACACACACACACACACCCTTCCTCCCTCACCATTGGGAAGGTGGTGCAGCTGAGATGGCAGGGCACTGAAATAATTGTGAACAAGTGCTTCCTGGGCGGAGACCCGGTCTCGAGGAAAGCCCTTCAGCATTTGGGAGGCCAAGTCTTCAGCTTCAGGAACTCTGCCCAACCTGGAAAAGTGGGAGAGAAAAATAAAATATCTCTAGAGGTTTCCCTTCTGAAAAATAAAGAGGGAGGAAAGGAACGGAAAGGAGGTGGCTAGATTTATAAGTGTGTTTCAAGTAGAACTTTTCCTGGATTACTAAAATTAATAGCAGGTGGGGAAATCACCCTGACACCAACACTCTTACCTGTCCTGTAACTAAGATAAAGGAAGAAAAATTCAGCATTCTATTATTTAGCTCTCTGGCCCCCACTGTGTCTCTGGGTATCATGTAAACATAAAGGACACAGAATTATAATTATAAAAGCAGAAATACACAATTAAAGATTCTTCTTTGAGAGACATAGCAGCCCCCACCAAGCAGAAAAGCCTGACTGAAAATGTGCTCCAGGCTCTGGATGGTAAGAGCCAGGTGTATAGAATGACTATGAGGAAGGGGAGAGGAACACACCAATTTACAGTGTTTTTGAAGCTTAGTCCCTAGAGGTGTTAGCGAAGAAGCTCTCTTGATTTCACCTGAGATGAAGCATAGGAAGAAAGATCACTTAATTAAGTCCAATCACAATAGGGATGAGGTGACTTTATGTTGAGTTATATATATGATGATGAAAAAAAAAAAAAAGAACCTATTTATTGAGTACTACTATGTGCTAGTAGATGGTTAGCCCTGGGGGATACAGAACAAGACTCTGCCTTCTGATAGCTTATGGTCAAGTAGTGGAGTCAGACATCAATAAAACTGGCATACAAATGTACAAGTACAACTGTGAATAAAAAGTCCTGGAACCTGACTTTGACTGGGAAGTGGTGGTCAAGGAACGCTTTCCTGAGGATGTGCCATGTTGGTTGAGAGCTGAAGGACTGAGGGCAGAAGTGGAGAAAGTATTGCAGACAGAGGTCTGTGGTCTTCATCCAGCCCCTGGGTTGGGAGGGAGAAGAGTGGGTTTAAGGAAGGGAATAAAGGTCAGTTGGTTGGCCAGGGACAAAGACTGGGAGAGAGGTCTGATACAAAACAGACAAGTGTCTAAAAGGAAAGCTATGAGAGGGAAAGCTGAGCAGATCCTGGGAGGTAATTAACTGCAATGTCAGATGTTCAGAATTAAATTACATGACCAAGATGTCTTTCAGTAGGTGAATGGACAAACTGTGGTACATCCATTCAATGGAGTATTATTTAGTGGTGAAAAGAAATGAGCTATCAACCTACAAAAGAAAATAGTGGAATCTTAAATGAATATTGCTAATCGAGAGATAGCTTAGAGGGCAGGAATGCATAGGAAAGAAGGACACAGGGAAAAGGTAACCACAGGAAGGAAGTGGGAAGAGAACTGTCACATTATGGGGATTGCAATCAATGTCATGAAACTGTTGTATGTAAAATGTTGTATGTAAACTTTCACCAAAATTACAATAAATACTAAAAAAAAAAATACATATTGCTAAGTGAAAGAAGTCCAAAAAGAGACATATTGCACGATTCCAACTATATGGCTTTGATGGCATAGTGCTAACCAGAAGGCTGACAGTTCAAACCCACCAGCCACTCCTCAGAAGGAAGATTGGGCAATCTACTTCCATAGTGATACCACCTCAGAAACCCAAAGAGGGGCTGCTATGAGTTGGATTCAACTCAACAGCAGTGAGTTTATTTATTTATTTATGTATTTGGTTTATATGATATACTGGAGTCGGGACGGACTCGATGGCAGTGAGTTTGGTGTTTTTGTTTGTTTGTTTGTTTATATAATATACTGGAAAAGGCAAAGCTTTGGAGACAGTGAAAAGATCAGTGGTTGCCAGAGGTTCAGGGTGAGGGAGGAAGGGATGAACAGGTGGAACACAGGGGATTTTGAGGGCAGTGAAGCCATTCTGTATGATACTGTAATGGTGGACACTTGACAATATGCATTTGTCAGAACTCGTAGGACTGCACAACAGGAAGCGTGAACCCTACTGTAAACTATGGATATTAGTCAACAATAATGTATCAATATTGGTTCATCAGTTGTAGCAAATATAGTGTGAGATATTAATAATTGGAGAAACCATGTGCCGGGGGAGAAGGAATATAGGCACTTTCTGTACAATTTTTCTGTAAACCTAAAAATGCTCTAAAAAATCAAGTCTAAGGAAAAACAATTAATTGTATGGCCATGGCACACTTTAGCAAATCCCCAAATAAGCAAAACCTGATGGGCTTTTTTCATGTCCAATACACACAAAAACTGAAAGTGAGAACAAGCCGACACTCTTTCCCTTTCCAGGATCCATGATGCAGAGATGTTGGAAGTCCTGGCCCAGAATTGTTATTTGCCTAATCTTTGCATACAATTGACTTAAGAGACTTTTAAGTACCTGATTCCTATGACATAAAACTGTTTCTGCACACAGATAACTACTCTCAAACCCAGGGATAACTGTTTCATAGGCTTAAGATAGAGAGATGCACAAATCCTCAGCGTTCCGGGCCAGTTAGCAGAGAAAGGACCCAGGGCATAGTCCTCTCACTAGCTCTCGGCCTGAAGAAGGGCTGGCAGGGCTTTTCTCCCTCCAGAGTGCTCTCCTTTCTGCCTAATGATTTACTAGCAGCACAGGTGGGGCCCCGGGTGTGGGCCTCTGGCAAGGGCCTAATAATCTCCATCTTGCTATTTACATATTGCACTCTGATTTGGGAGCTGAGAAAAGAGCCCAGGAATGCAAATGATGCTGCTTTGGGCACAATTTCCTGACACCTTTCTTATTTTTTCACATTCTGCTTCTTGCTTACTATCCATTGTCTTTACTGTTACATTTCTACAATCGTTGTTGTTGTTATTAGGTGCCTTCGAGTCTACTAGAGCGATTCTTCATATGCTGGTTACAACTCTGATTTAGAAATGAAAGTTGGCATGCAAAGTCAACATTACAAATGTTAATTTGCCTACTAGCCTTTTCCATATATGTAAAATGTTAATAAATATTATTTGTTTGGTTTATGATGTTAACTACCGAACTTGCCAGGAGATATCTTTCAGGATTAAAAGAATCCATCCAATTAATGGGAGTCTGTTAGACAAAGAACCCTGTGGTGAACCACTCCTCCAAGTAATCTCCAAGTAATGTTTCAAGAAGCGAGAAGTCTTTCACTGCCAAAATACATATTTATTACAGGACACTTAGAAAAGGCAGAGAAAGAAAGTCAAAACTACCCATCTCTCTGAAATAACTGCATCATTCGACCATAGTCACCATAGCCTTGCTATTCTTTTTTTCAGTCTGTCCTCTGAAAATACGTTCTCAAATGCGTTTTTTGTTTCGCAAAAACAGTACTATTATACTCTGTATGCTGTTGTAACATGCTTTTTCCACTTGACCATCTTAATCATCTTCCCATTTCTGAGTAGCTTCCTAGGACATACTTTTAATGGCTACCTAGCATTCCATTATGTGGGCATATCAAAATTTACATACCTGGACCTTTAAGTTGTTACCTTTTTTGTTGGGGCTAGGGAGAATTGTTATTAAAATTATACTATGACTAATACCGTGGGAGCTCTGGTGGCATAGTGCCTCACGCACTTGAGTGCTAACCGGAAGGTTGGTGGTTCAAACTCACCAGCCACTTCTTGGAAGGAAGGTTGGGCAATCTACTTCTGTAGTGATACTACCTTGGAAACCCAAGGAAGGGTTGCTGTGAGTCAGAGATGACTCGACAGCATGTAACAACAATGTGATAAATATCCTCAAAGAGAAATCTCTGTATACTTGTGCAATAACTTCCTTAGGATAAATTCTCAGAATCGAAATCCCTAGGTTGAAGGATATAAGTAACATGTTAAAATTTTGATTCATCATATCAGCTAGAAAAGCTGCCCCAATTTCCACTGGTACATGGAGAGCCGCATGGGAGAGTGCCTGTCCCTGTGTACAAGGCTAAGATTTCATTCCAGCCGACCTGAATTACCACAGTTCCCATTGCTTAGAAAAGGCCTAAAAAGGATGAAAATTGTACATTGATCTTAAAAGGGGTGCTGGGTGTGAATGACATCCACATTTAATTTTAGAAGTCTAGAATAGAAACAAACAACAAAAAAGTGAAAATCAGACTTGGCAATTGTGTAAAGCATCATCTACTAACCCATCCATCACTCAGCACACAGAAAAAATCTGGTGGTTTCAAGGGCCTGAGGCAACAGTCTTAATTTCTTAGCAAAGCCTGGCTCCAAGTCTGAAAAACCCCTTCCTCACTGCTGCCATCAACCTTCATGGGGCAAGGCCTTATCTGTTTGCAAGACAAAATAATACATTCTGAGTTCAGCTGGGTTCTTTGTGTTTTTCATCTAGATTTACAGTAAGAGAAAAAGGGGAAGGGTAGAGTAGGTCCCCCTTTTTTTTAATGTTGTCAGTTTAGAATGTAGTCAAGTAGACACCCACCATAAGAAACATGTACAACACTAGGAAGAAACAGCATCAGAAAAGCTGTGCTGCAATTTGTCAATCAAGCTGAAAAGTGTGTACTTTGGGCCCACATAAGTCACAATCAAACCCCAGGCAAGGCCTGAGATGAGTTGACAGGTCTGTGCACAGCTGCACTGTAGTTCTGCAGGAATCTTGCAGAAGAGCCAGTGACACCTTGGCTGGTCTTTTACTCACCACATTTGCAACCTGATTGTGGCAACAAAAGCCACAGAACCCGCACCAAATGAATTCTTGCTCCACCACTTACTAGCTGGACAAGGTTGGACAAGCGACTTGAGTTCACTGAGCCTCATGTTTGAAATGGGAATCCGATTTGTGAGGATTAAATGAAATAACTTATGGAGCACACTGTCAGCCACATCCTTCAAGGTTAATCCTCTTCTTTCAATGACAAAACCCTTCCCCAGAGCCAAGAATTTTTTCATGTGATAAGCTAGGCCAGCGCTGTCCCATAGAACTTTCTATCCTGATGGAAATCTTCTACTGCTCCTCTGTCCAATATGGTAGCCACTGTTCACATGTGGTTACTAAGCACCTGAAGTGGGGCTAAGTGCAACTGAGCTACTGAATTTTTTATTTCATTTAAATCAATGTAAGTATAAATTTAAATAACACTATATACTAGACAGCATAGGTTTAGGCATTATTCCCTGTTTGAGGATCTGAGCAGAGAAGCCAAAAATTTGGGGAAAAGCCAAACTTTGGGAGCAAGAGAGCCAGCAGGAATGATAGCTGTTGTCCATGAGCAAGAAATTTGGAAGAATATTCAGCAAGTTCAAGTCCTGCTCAGTGCTGGAAGAAAGGGCAGGTGAGCCCATCTCAGGAGGCTGGTGGCACCATCTTCTGTCATGTGACAGTGTGGCAGCAGCAACATAGAGTGTTAAGTGTTTTGCTGGTTTGGAGTTATTTGCTTTGGAAGCCCACAGTGAAATGATAGAAAGCCACAGGGCAGTGCTATTATCTCTAACCAGGGGCCTGGCAATGCTAACAAGAGAAAGTGTGTACCTCTTGAATTAAATGATAAACAGCAGTTCCCAGGAACTGTCTCCGACATAACCCAGAGTTTCAGGTTGTACCATGCTTTTGAAAGGAAGAGTGGCTGTGCAGATGTCCAAGGGAGACTTGTTCCTCCCCATAAAAGACCCTTGAATAAGCCATACTTCTGTTTTCCTCACCCACTTTACTCTTTGGATCCTCCTATTCACCCTACTTGGAAGCTTTTTAAAACATGTGAACAGCAAGTATGGAGAAATCAAACGAAATACGGTTAGGTTAAATGATACCACATTTTCAGCAAAGAGCAACATTCAAATGATCAGTGAGGACCTTGGCCGGTGAAGCGCTCTTCCACTTCTCCCCACCTGCGAGAGTGTGTTTTTCTTTGACATTTGAGCCTGTTTCCCGTGTCTCTGATGTTTTCCTCACTGCCCTTTTTGCCTCTTCACTGAAGCAAAAAGAACAGAGCCTCGGCTAATTACTCTCAGATCAAATAATACTGGTTATTGTAATTGGTCATTGTCCGAAAACACAGAGTTCTTCTTAGCCCTGAGGTTGCCTGGCAAGGCTTAGTTAGCTAACTATTCCGGGAATGTCTCTATTATCTGTTTTACTTTGCAAAAGAAACTAGGGATTTGTTGAAGGCTAGTAATAAAAGTCTGCCCTGGTCTGAGCCGAGACTGCGTAGAGAGGGCCTGGGAAAGCATGACCTCCATGAATCAACCCCCCCACCCCCAAGAGCCGCTCAATGATGTTATTTGGTTTCTCTGTGTCAGAGAATAATAAACCCACTAGGTTTTCTTGCAGGCCAACACTCCTTCATTCTCAGGGCCTGAAGCATGGTTGAGGCGCACAAAATGCTTTTCATGACTAAACTCACTGAAAGTAAAATGATGCGCAGAGAAAAACTAACAGAATCACAGGTGGCTCCCCCGCTGTCCTAGTGGCCTCTGTCGGGGGCTTGTTTGGTGGACTGAGGTCCAGGGAAATGCTCCTTCCATGCTGCATAAAGCTAAGTTTCCCGAGGTGCTTACCTGTTCCAGACCATCCGAAGGCTCTGGGGCTTAGGCAGCGGGAACCATTCTGGAAAGCACACACAGAAACACGATGACCATAATGCCATGGAATTATACATGTGAAAATTATAGAAATGGCAAATGTTTTGTTTCCTATATATTTACTATACACAACATAACCCTAAAATCTTGTTGCCAAAAATACTGTTAAAATGAAAATGCTTTTCTTGGTAGGAGGTAAAAGAGTCTGGTATCAGGCGGATAGGCAAACTAGATTTTATTTTTAACCAGATGATTTTTAAGGGCTCTTCTCACTGTAAATTTTTATGATTCTCTGGAACGTCTTGAAAAGCAGTAAAGTCAACAAACATTTATTTAACATCTACTGTGTGCAGAGCAGGTACCAAGTGCTGTGGAGTACACAAAAGAACCCCAAAGAGGCCTCCCCATCCTTGCCAAGCTTACAATTCACTGGGGAGAACAAAGCATACACGCATGAAAAGTCATGTGACGGATGGCAGGACAAAGTCTCAAAAGTCTAATAAGTGCTAAAAAGTAACAGGACTGGTTTTATATGTCTCTGGCAGTAGAAATGGAAGTGAATCCTGGCTTGGATAATCCAAAATGGACAATAATAAAAATTCTCATTTTCTTTGGAGCACTCTTGATAACATTTACATCTGGATACATATGCTTCTATTATTCTTGATATTGACACCGATTTAACCCAAAATAAAACCACCATGAAAGGAGGCAATTTTTCATTCATTCAAGAAATACTTATTGAATGCTTACTTTACAGAAGGGCCATACAGGAGCTTTGGAGGATATAAGAAATTATGGGTCAATGCTACCCATCAAATCCCTTCTACCCTCATTTCACACTGAGAAAGGAGGGTTTCAACTCTCATTTAAAATTATATTTCTGCCTTACACCCTTCTTGGGCCTGAAAACCTTAATTTTGAGGTTTAAAAGATTTCTTCTTCCAGCTCCTAAAGAAATGGGATAAACCATGGGTTGTTCACTACAATGAAACATTGTAATGCTGTTGTTGTTGTTGTTTGCCGTCAAGTCGGCCCCGACTCATAGGGACCCCTCCTTGGGTTTCCGAGGCAGTATCACTACGGAAGTAGGATTGCCCAACCTTCCTTCCGAGGAGTGGCT